TACAAAAAGATTATTTCAAGAACCAAATTATACACATACACACATGTGTTAATTAAATAATATTTTAATGTTACAGATTTCATTTACCTCACTTTCTTGTACCTGCAGAAAGTTTAGCTGATTTTTTCACACACTGATTAACTGATCATTCTATGAGAGCTATGTGCACAGAATTTTGCCAAAACATTAGCAAACTTTTCACAATGCTAAAAATTACCATAAAAATAAAAGTAGAAAGAATGAAAATATTGCATTGGTTTTATTCGTACCCCTAAACTCTTATCAAACCTACAGAAACAGTGTTCTACAGATTTCTGTACCAAATGTTTAATGTTGTACAGACTGTTCTTCAAAGAAGCATAATCTAAATATATGGCTATATAGTGCAGTGAATTACATGGTATGGCTTTTCCAGCCATAGTCTTTGTAACTCCCACTGGATTACTGGGTGGGACCATACAAATATGGGTCAATTTGGCTGGGCAGCTGGGGGTAGTTATTCCCTACAATGAGGCTAGTAATTAACTCCATGGTGGAATTTGCCATGAGCAACTGAATAGCTGCTTTTAGACTCCTGATTGTTAAAGTCATCCACCTGGGGTATTTCTGTTGGTGCAGTACAAAGTAATCTTCTGGAAAAGTTTGCTCTCTCTCAGGTGTGTAGAACTCTGATGTTGGGATTGGTTAGTTTTGCCACTCTGCCAGGCTTAAAATGAGCCCTCCTAGAGGCAGAGGTGTCTCTCACTGCTGGCTGAGAGAGACACCCAGCTGAGAGACAGTGACAGTGGAACCAAGAGTATGGGACAGAGTGGCAAGCCTACCTGGCCCACAGAGGCAGAGGCCAGGCCACGAGGCCAAGGGCCATAGAGGTATGTTTAAGGGCATAGCAGAGAGGAGACTATCCTGATCGAGGAATTGTATCCTGAGTGCATTCCTGAACTTGAATTGTAGCCTGTTACTTCCCTAATAAACTCCATAATCTGTGAGTTCTGTGTGGCCAGTGCAGGAAATTATCAAACCCAGTAGAGAGGTAGTGGGTGCTGTAGGAGGGATAGTTGGTGTCAAAATTGGTAAGAGGGCTGGAAGGTGGTGGCATGTCTGGCCTCATAGAAACAGGCCTTGGGCTGCTGATGTTGATTCTGTCTTCCTCTGTAGACAGAGGAGGTCAAAAGATGACACCTCCTTGCCCCTTTAGCAGGTTATAAGTTATAAACTTCAAGAGAATCCACCCATTGGTGTTGAAAAAGCTGATAACATATAGGTGTATTTATATGTGTGTGTGTGTGTATGTATACACACCACATACATAACTCACATAATTTAAAGCTAATCCTGTGCAAATTATTTGGCACCTATTAATGAATGGACTGAACAAAAGGAATATGTTTCTGGCAGCCCATGCTATATTCAATATTCTTCATCAATATCATAATTCAAAGACATCAATTCTTCAGTCTTTCTTATTCACTGTCCAGCTTCTGTATGCACATGAAGTGACTGAAAACACCATGGTTTGGGTAGGGTTCATTGTAGTCCTCAAAGTAACATATTTGCTCTTTAACACTTTAAAGAGGTATTTTGCAGCAGATTTGATTAATGTAATACATCATTTGATTTCTTGACTGTTGCTTCCATGGGTGTTGATTGTGGATCCAAATAAAATGAAATCTTTGACAACTTAAACCTTTTCTCCATTTTCCATGAAGTTGCTTATTAATCCAGTGGTACAGATTTTTGTTTACTGTATGCTGAGGTCTATACAGAGGCTATACTCTAGTAATCTATACTGAAGGCTGTAGTCTTTGATCTTCATCAGTAAGTATTTCAAGTCCTCCATAGTGCCTAAGGCATTTGACTGCTAACCAGAAGGCTGGTGGTTCAAACCCACCAGCTACTCCTTGAAAGGAAGGTTGGGCAATCTACTTCTGTAGTGACACTGCCTCAGAAACCCAAGGAGGGGTCACAATGAGTCACATCTGACTCGATGGCAGTGAGTTTGGTTTGGTTCTTGGTTTGCTATCACCAAGCAAGGTTGTATCATCTGCATATTGCAGGTTGCTAATGAGTCTTCCTCCAATTCTGATGCCATGCTCTGCTTCAGATAGTCTAGCTTCTCGGATTTGCTTGGCATACAGACTGAGTAACTGCCTGGCAAATACCTTTTCTGATTTTAAACCATGCAGAATCCCCTTTTTCTGTTCCAGTGACTGTTTCTTGGTCTATGTTCAGGTTCCACATAAGCACAATTGAAAAAAAAAAAAAAAATCACCTCCCTCCCCCCACATTATTGAGTTGATTCTGACTCACAGCAAACCTACAAGACAGAGTAAAACTGCCCCATATCATTTCTAAGGCTGTAAATGTTTACAGAAACTGACAGCCTCACCTTTCTCCCACAGAGTAGCTGGTAGGTTCAAACTATCAACCTTTTGGTTGTTGTTTTTGTCATGTGCCTTCGAGTCAGACTCGACTCATAGTGACCCCTCCTTGGGTTTCCGAGGCCATATATGTTAACCACTGCACTACTAGAGCTCTTGTGCATAATTAAGTGTTCTGGAATTCCCATTTTTTGTAATGTTTTCCACAATTTGTTATGATCCACACATTTGAAAGCCTTTGCATAGTCAATAAAACACAGATAAACACCTTCTTTCTGTTATTTGCTGACATTAGCCAAGATCTATCTGACATCAACTTGATATCCCTTGTCCCAAGACCTTTTCTGGCAGTTGTTTGTTAATGTACTGCTACAACCATTTTTAAATTATCTTCAGCAAAATATTGCTTGTGTGTGATATTAATGATATCGTTTGATAATTTCTGAATTCTGTTGGATCACCTTTCTTTGGAACGGGCACAAATACGGATGTCTTTCAGCTAGTTGGCTAGTTAGCTGTCTTCCTTATGTCTTGGCATAGATTAAGTGAGCACTTCCAAAGTTTCATCCATTTGTTGAAACATCTCAGTTGGTATTCTGCCAATTCCTGGAGCTGTGTTTTTCACTGATGCCTTGAATTTAGTTTTGCCTTCTTCCTTCAATACTATCAATTCTTGAGCATATGCTACCCCCTAAAATGGTTGAAGGTGGAACAATTCTTCTTGGTACAATGACTCTGTGTATTCCTTCCATCCTCCTTTGATGCTTCCTGCTTTGTTCAATATTTTCCCCATGTTGTTGTTGTTGTTATGTGCCGTCGAGTTGGACCCAATTCACAGCGACCACTCCTTGGGTTTCTGAGGCAGTATCACTATGGAAGTAGATTGTCCCATCTTCCTTCCGAGGAGTCGCTGGTGGGTTTGAACCGCCAGCCTTCTGATTAGCAGTCAAGTACCTCAGGCATTATGCTACCAGAGCTCCTTTTGCCCATAGAATCCTTTGATATCGCCAAGATGAGGCTTGAATTTTGTCTTCAGTTATTTCAGCTTGAGAAATGCTGAGCATGTTCTTCCCTTTCAGTTCTCCAACTCCAGATCTTTGCACATTTCATTACAAAAGTTTGTTTTCTTGAGTTGCCCTTCGAAAACTTCTGCTCAACTCTTTCACTTCAACATTCCCTCCAGTTGCTTTAGTTGCTCTACATTCAAGAACATGTTTCAGAGTCTCTTCTGACATCTTTTTTTGTTTTTTTCTTTCTTTCCTGTTTTTTAATGACCTTTCGCTTTTCTTCACACATGATACACTTGATGTTATCCTGCAACTTGTCTGGTCTTCTGTCATCAGTGTTCAGTGCATCAAATCTATTCTTCAGATTTTCTCCATGTGCAGTTGGGACATACACAAAGGTCATACTTAGGCTTCAGTGGACTTGTTTTAATTTTCCTCAGCTTCAAGTTGAATTTGCGTAGGAGGGATTGATGGTCTGTTCTGCATTCGACCCCTGACCTTGTTCTGACTGATGATATTGATCTTTTCCATCATCTCTTTCCACAGATGCCATCGATTTGATTTCTATATATTACATTAGGTGAAGTCCACGTATATAGTTGCTTTTTTCATTGTTGAAAGGGTATTTGCAATGAATAGGTCTGTGGTCTTGCAAAATTCTATTATGTGATCTCCAGCATCCTTTCTATCATCAAGTCCATTATTTTCCAACTACCAGCCATTCTTGTTTCCAATTTTCACATTCCAGTCACCAGTAATTATCAATATACCTTGATTTATGTTTGATCAGTTTCAGACTGCAGAAGTTGGTAAAAATTTTCAATTTCTTCATCTTTGACATTAGTGATTGGTGCCTTCATTTGACTATTAGTCTTATTAATTGGTCTCCCTTGTAGGCTGATGGATATTATCCTATCACTGATGGTGTTGTACTTGAGGACAGATCTTGAAATGTTCTTTTTGATAATGAATGTGATGCCATTCCTTTTCAATTTGTCATTGTCAGCATTTACAGACCATAAACTAAGAGAAAGAGATATAAGCAACTTGCCTAACTGCATGGAAAAAGTATCAGAGCTGTGATTTGAACCCAGGCAGTACCCATGGCTGAAATGAAAACTAGTAAAAAGCTAACCTAGTACTTATCAAAATGAGAGTAACTGACTTCACGTAACAAGTTACTTTCATAATAAATATGAAAATTGTGGTTGATAGACTGGACTCATTTTATATACATGGAGGAAAACTTTGAAAGATTGTTAAAATATAAAGCAGTACTTGGGGAGCTAAAGGCAAAGTAAAACACTCAACCACCACAAAATCTAACATCTTCAGTTTAAAATGTGGTCCAAAAGAAAAAAGCAATTAAGAAATGGAGGTAGCAGAAAAGTACTAGAAAAACTGTGGTTCATATGTATATGTTGCTTAGTATATAATCCATCTTTTGAAGAAAATGGGAAGAAAGAGTAAGTGCCTATCGCAAGTAATTGTGGAATTGGGACTGGTTTTGTACCACTATTCTACTTAACTGGATTTTACCTATACAATAAGAATAATTATTAAAGAAATAACTATCAAATAGAACTAAATATTCTTATTCACAAAAAGAGAATACCTTAATGCATCTTTAGTTTTTGGCGATGTCAGGAATTCTGTCTGTACACCATTCATAACTTCTCTGTCTTCCATGTTCTGTGAGGAATCCTGTAGGGACACAAACCTGTAAGCATAGAGATACTACACATAATGAACTGAAAACTGGAATAAAATGCCTAAGCATGAGAGAGTAGGCAGTTGTACTCTGGATATGTGTAGTATGTTCCTATTTCTTTGAAGACTGGAAACAGGTGTTAACCTCTCCAGTGTTTTCAATGCTTTTTTCTCTCCTGTTTGGTTTCTGAAATACTTAAATGGGCCATTCACACAAGGTAGTACATTAAGAACTTTGGAATATATTATTTATCTGCTGCCATCAACTTGATTCCAACTTATAGAGACCTAACAGGACAAGGTACCACTGTCCCACAAGGTTTCCAAGGCTGTAAAGTTTTATGGATGCAGACTGACACATCTTTCTCCCCAGAGTGGCTGGTAGGTTGAATCACTAAACTTTTAGTTAGTAGCTGAGTGCTAAACCACTGCACAACCAGGAAAAACATCATTCAGATTCCTGTTACTCAACAGGACAGGACTCTTTTTTAATAGGAAAGGGGAACAGAATATGAAAGGGTAGATGCCACTGATGTATTAATTTCAATGCAATGTTATTTGCTTGTACCTTCCACGACACTAATATAAAGAAAGCAAAATCCATGAAAAAATGTTCTGTGGTAAGGTTATTTCTGTCAGAAGCATAACAAGAGTACTGTAGGAAGAAAAAAAAAATTGGACTTGTTACTTTACCATGAGATTTTGAGGATTTTTTTACCAGAGAGAAACTAAAATGAAACATTTAATTTCTGAAACTGTAAATGCTTTTCCACTGCAAAGATGTAAAAGGGCTAAAGAGGTTCTGTGCTTCCAGGACAGTAGTAAAATTGAATTTGATGTTACCCAGCCCAGTAGAGGAGAAGACGGATTCTAGATAGCAAGGCTGATTCATATTTTTATTTATGTAAGCTATCAGTTCTTTGCTAGGTCTTGAAATTGTATTTCAACACAGTAACTCTGCAGAAACATCACTCTTCCCACCACCAGACGTAGAGTCCCACCATCAAACCAGTACTTTTAGTTTTAGACTGTGGCTGCACTTTAAGAAAAAGCCTTATGGAAAAATACCCATTATCAATAGCCACACCAGTAAACAGAACATTTATGGATCTGAAAACATCATTTTAACAAAAAGGTAAAATAATATTAGAACTTATTAACTTATTAAGTTTATTAATATAAGAGCTTGAATACAAAAGAATTAATATTTCAATGAAAGCAAAACATAGCAGCCACTTAAGTAGTCTGTCTTAATGAATTCAGTGAAAAACAAAACTTAGACTAAGTAGCAACATTCTATGCAGGATTTGATAGTTTTGTGTCTATACTAGATTTTATTTTATTTTATTTTTTATTTTTCTTTTTCTCCTTTCCACAGGGATAAAGGGGGAAAATCCATTAGGTTAAAGAACACTTCACAGTTGAAGGCAGCAAATCTTAAACTATGAATGCTTTTGAAAGCTTCTGACCATTCATGTTGTTGTGAAGGGTTTGGCATATGCTTAGAGAGAACAGAAGAAAGGATGAGGCAGGTTAGAAAAATACTGAGGTGGAGAATTAAAAAAATGTATTTGCGACAATTGTACTTGTCAGGATATTTGATGTCTTCATTTACGCTATTTTTGATGTTATAAATAACAATGTTTTCTTCATTTCACCTTTGGATTTTTCATTGCTAGTGTACAGAAATACAATTTATATTGATATATTTATATTATATCCTGCAATCCTGGTGAATGTGTTTATTAGTTCTAGTAGTTTCTTTTGTTTATGGATTCTCCAGGATTTCTGTACCCATGGTCATGTCATTTGTGAACAGAAATAGTTTCACTTCTTCCTTTCCAATCTGGCCCTTAATTCCTTTTCTTGCCTTATCACCCCGGCTAGAACCTTCAGAACAATGTTGAATAGAAGTAGTAAGAGCAGATGTTCTTACGTTGTTCCTTCTCTCACATACAAAGAATTCAGCTTAAATAAGATGCTAGCTGTGAGTTTTTTGTAGGTAGCCTTTATCAGACTATGCTGTTGTTTCAATTCATCTCATAATATTTTCTAATTTCACTTGTTATTTCTCATTTACTCATGTATTATTTATTTAAATGTATTATTTATTTTCCACACATTTATGTATTGCCCAAATTTCCTTCTGTTACTGTTTTGTAGTATTAGGCCATTGTGACTGGAAAACACACTTTTTATTACTTCAATTCTATTCAACACATTGAGGCTTGTTTGACAGCCACACATATGGTCCATTCTGGGGCATGCTCCATGTACACTCGAGAAGAATGTATATGCCACTATCGTTATAGTTTTCTACCAATGTCTTTTAGGTATAGTTGATTTACGGTGTTTCCTGTTGATCTTATTTCCTTGTTGATCTTCTGCCTGGCTGTCCTATCCACTAGTGAAACAGGAGTACTGATGTCTCCAGCTATTACTGTTGAATTGTCTATTTCTCCTTTCAATTCTGCTAGTTTCCTTCATGTATCTCAAGACTCTGTTGTTAAGTGTTTATGTTTATGATTGTTTTATCTTCCTGATAATTTGGCTCTTTTATTACTATAAAATGTCTTCTTTGTCCCTAGCAACCATTTTTGTCTCAAACTTTATTTTGTCTCATATTAATATGGTCACTCCAATTCTGTTTTGATTATTGTTTGCATGATATATCGTTCTCATCCTTTTACAGACAATAGTTTGTGTTTTTGAATATAAAGTGTATCTCTGGCAGACAGCATATGCCTGGATTATTATTTAACTTGTTCTGCCAATCTCATATTTTTGACTGTTTAGTCGATCTACATTTGACGTATTTACCTGTAAAGTAGGATTATACCTGCATTTGCTATTTGTTTCTATATTTTATATCTTTTTTGTCCCACTGCCCCTCCTTTTCTCCTGCTTTTGTAATAAACAATCTAGTGATTGTCAACTTAATTTTAATTGCATACAAAAACTTTGTTCCTATGTAGCTCTGTTCCTTCTCCCTTGCTTTGTGTTACTACTGTTACACAAATTACATCTTTTTAGATTATGAGCTCATTTACACAGTTTTACAATGAATAGTTTGGGCAGAAGTAATTTAAATCAGAAAGAAGAGAGAAACGGAACAAACAAAAACGCACTTTATCCAGGACACGGAATTGTGTCACAAGGAAGCTGCACACAGACCAAGAGGCAGTCCTGAGAACAGAACACGAGGCACCACATGCTTTAAACCAGGAAGGTATGCCTCAGGGCTGCAGCCTTTCACTGTATGTATTCCGTTTGTACGCTAAGCAACTAATCAGAAAACCTGGCCTTTTTGAAGACAAGCACAGCATCGGGGTTGGAGAAGACTCATTAACAACCTGTGATACACAGATGACACAACCTTGCTTGCTGAAAGTGAAGACTGGAAGCACACAATGATGAAAGTCAAAGACTACAGCCTTCAGCATAGATTACACCTCAACATAAAGAAAACAAAGATCCTCACACCTGGACCCTTAAGCAACATAACGATAAATGCGGAAGAGTTCAAAGTTGCCAGGGATTTCATTTTACTTGGATCCACAAATGACACCTAGAGAAGAAACAGTCAAGATAAATGACTTATTGTGTTGGGCAAATGTGCTGCAAAAGACCTCTTTACAGCATTCCAGAGCAAAGATGTCACTTGAGGACTAAGGCATGTGATAGTTAAGGTTGTTGTCAAGTTGACTGGGCCTGGCTGAGTGGCTGGGAAGTTGGATGTAGTTATTGCCCGTGGTGAGACTGGCAATCAACTCTATCGTGGAAAGCGCCCTGAGCAGCTGAGTACCTGCTTTAGGGATGTGGTCTGTCTCCCATATATAAAGAGAAGTTTTGAGGAAGGTCTCCAGTTTTTTAGCACACTTGAACCCTACATGTATCTAAGTCGTGGTTCACCAGCCTGCCCTGCCCTGCCAATCTTGGGACATTTGGACTTCAATTAGCAGCCTGCCATGTTGTTTGGTAACATTGGGGCTGTGCCTTTTTACTTGTTGATCTTGGGATTGTAGCCTCAACAGCCAGCAGCTGTCTGAGTGAAGAAAAGCTTCCAGCTTCAGTGGGCCGGGAGCAGAAGGCAGAGCTGAAGCACAAGGCTTGTACCCAGCCCCTAGAGCCCAGCACTTTGAACTCATACTTGAAGCCTCTAACCTGTTAAGAGAATAAACTCTTGTTTGTTCAAGCCATCCTATTTGTGGCACATCCCTGTCAGAGTGGCACTAGGTAACCAAAACAAGGTGTGCCTGATTCAAGCCATTTTCAATAGCCTTATATATATGTGAAATCTGGACAGCGAATAAGGAAGACCTCAGAGGAACTGATGCCTTTGAATTATGGTGTTGGCAAAGAATATCAAATATCCCAGAATATAGAGTATGCCAGAAGAACTACTAGAAAGAAGTAAAGCCATGATGCTCCTTAGAAGCTAGAATAGCCAGACTTCATCTCTCATACTGTGATATGCAGATGACACAACCTTCCTTGCTGAAAGTGAAGAAGACTGGAAGCAGCAGCAGACAGGGCTGCTGGCTGGAACAGGTAAGGCAGGGAGAGTCCCCAGGTGGCAGGAAGCAGTGGCAGATAGGGTCAGCAGCCGGAACAAGCAGCGGAAAGCCCAGGAAGTGAGCATACTGGTTGGAAGAGCTAAGGGAGATGAACTTGTCTGTCAGTTTGTCGTATTGTGGTGGCTTGCATGTTGCTGTGAGACTGGAGGCTGTGCCAGGAGGGGTGCCCGTGGTGAACTGGTTTCGGTGGAGTGTCCACATTGAGACAGGCTTGGAAGAAGGAAGAGGCCATCCACTTCTCAAAGAATTGGCCAGGGAAAACCTTATGAGTAGTAGTGAAACACCGTCTGATATATTACTGGAAAAGTTTATGAATAGACCTTAAACATCATCCAATACAGTGCCAGAAGATGAGCCCCTCAGGGCAGAAGGCACTCAAAATATGACTGGGAAAGATCTGCCTCATCAGAGTAGAGC